GCTATATGGAGGCAGGTAGAAAAAAGTCATGGAGACAGTTGATAAAAAAACCGGTTGGGCTTAGAGAGGGAAAACTAAAAGTCACAAATACCAAATTTCACATAAGTTACTTGCTTGTCTGTTTTTTTAATTGAATGTATGGATGTACATTTAAGTTGTCCAAAAATGTATGTAAAAAAAATAAGGTCGCATTTTTAATGCCGCCACCCCTAAGATTGTTCTGTACCGACAAAAAATATACCCCTATTTTTTATTTTGAAATAAAAAAAATTTATGGAGTGCTGAAAGCGCTCAAAGTTTTCAATGTATTTTATATGGGAGAAAAACAACTTTTCGTAGAAATAGTGTAGAATTCTTGCAAATCAATATTTTTCGATCGGAGAACTTTGCTTATCTTAAGGAGATTCCCAGTAATAGTACCCAATTGTTCCTTTAACCATTTTTTCATGGTAACTATATTTTATAGAAAATGCAATGGGGGGACCAATAAGAAATCTTTAATCATAAAAAATGGTTAAATAAACTATTGGATATTAATACTGGAAGTCTCCTGAAGAGTACCACAGTTTTACGATTGAAAAATATTGATTTTCAAGAGTTTTATACCATTGTTTGGTTAATATATCTACAAAATATTTCCAGAGTAAAATATAAAAATTTCATGAGCATCCTCTAAATTTGTACCTAGAAACGTAAAATTTAGTGCCAGCAGCTCTTTCGGCAAGAGGAAAAATTTTGAAAGGTGTCGCGAACCCTATCTCGTAGATTTGTTTGTTTTACCAACCATATTTACATACATATGAATACAAGGCTAATTACGAACTGGCAGTTTTTGCTTGATTTGAGTGAATCGGGGTTGTGGAATAGCCGCCGTCTTAAAAACATGGGTACCTTGTCTCCGCTTTATAAAATATATTAAAATTCCAATTGGATTTTGCTCTATCTAATCGAAATTATTTTATACTTTAAAACCATAATTCTTGTCTTAAAAGACCTTCCCACATACATATAAAAACAACTTAGGAAAATTTTTTTTCATGGAAAATCTTATAGAACAACGAAAAAAAATTGATTGTAAATAAAAACAGCAGAATTTTAATGTGAAATGATTATAGTTTGTATAGTAAGTATGTTTGTAACACAATTTTTCATATTAACGAAACAGTGCATAGTAAATCACGGCTCACCTTTACGTAACAACATTCCGAAGCTTTTGCTGCCGATGAGTATTTTAGGAGTAGCGAAATTTTACAACGCGGTTAATTTTATTTCAACAGGTTCCTAGAGGAATAAATTGTCTTTGTTACAATTTAGTACACTTATATTCAGCTGAGCACTGTTTATTCACTTTTGTATGGAAAAAAAAATAAAAATACATACATATATGTATATATTTTAAAACATGACTTCCACAGCAACTCAATATAAAAACCGGACTGCAATTTAATTGGCTAGTTCCTTGCTTTGTTTTTTTGTTTTCTTTTTTTTTTTTGGTATATTCTCACGATAAGCTTTAGCTGCTAATTTCGTAGCTTTAATGCTGCTCAATAGGTGTTTATTTTTTGTTGTATGACTATGTATGCATATGTAATTAGTTAATACCTATAAATGACATAGGTATGTATGTTTGTATGACGATATACTTAGGTACATATCGCACGTTTAATAATATATGTACAGAATTATTCCAAAATTTAATTTTTGTGGGAAAACGCAATCAAAGTTTGAAAAGAAAGGCGATTTCGTTTCTACAAAAGATGTTGCCTTCTCATGGCCCTCTTCTTAGCGTTTGTGCATAGAGGGCAAGGAGAAGGTTGCACTTTTCGGTAGAAACGAAATCGGCATTAGCCATTTTTGGGAAGTTTAGTTTTCTGTTAGGCTGGACATATTCTCCTTATCAAGCTTTTTAATTGTATGGTGAAATCTGCAAAAACGTGAATTTTGGGTTACATCTCTATATTATTAAACGTGCGATATGTACTATGCAGGTTATCTAAACAAACGGATGTACATATGTATGTATGTATTTATATGTGTTGCTTTTAATCAAAAATAGTGCTGTTTTGAAAATCACTGAAAACACATTAACAAAACAGCATTTGCTTTACACAGAACGCTTGATTTACAAATCAATAATCGCGACAACGCAAACTCAACGATGAACAAAATATTTTTGTTTAGTCAGGTTCATGTAGACAAGCTTATCGTGTTTGTGACTAAGTACATACATATGTGATAATTAAATTTAAAATAGAACCTTTTCGAGTTCTAAACCATTGACGTTGAGCAGCGCTTGCAAACTGAATTGAGATCCGTTGAAGAGCGCTCAGTGAAGCGCCAACGTAGTACTTATGAAGATATGTACATACATATGTATGTACAATACGTACCATATGTATGTAAAATACTCTCAGACCGGTCTGATCAATTTTGAGACTTGACAAGAGCTACGATTAAATGCAAAACTACGCACTCTACTTGTATATTAGCAGCTCCATGGAACCTATCTAGCCACTAACTGGGCGATAAGTTAAGTTAGTAGATAAGTTATGGATTTTTTGTTTGCTTTTTAGAAATTTGCAAATTAATTGTTTATAAACAGAAGCATTAGTTTCAGATTTAAGGACACATTTTTTACTAGAAAACTTTCGGTGATTTTTTAATTTAGTTTAAGCAATTTGGTTTTGGTTGGAAAGGAACATTTATGTTTGTTTGTACATATGTACATACGAGTACTTACTTAATATATATATTTAATATATATATTTAATTCACTAAAATTTTAGACTTGTGGCAACCCTATTATATTATTTTATATTTTTACATAGAGACGCGAAATTGGCCTATTTCACCTATTAAGTTTTATGGATTATTATAGAAGATATGGAGCTGGACTGACCGGATACATTGCTTTTAGCTTTTTAAATACATTTCATTTTCAAAAGGAACTAAATTTTAACAACGTGATTATTTTTCGCACGTGCGTTGGCTTTCGCTCTTCAGAATGAGAGTTCTCAATTATTGAATTTGATTAAATATTAAGGGAGATATCGTGTGGTAACCCAAAAATATATTTTAGAAATAAGTATATAGATAAAATAAAACTATGGAAGTTAAAAAATCGAACCTTAGTAATCGAAATTTAAAAAAACCGCAATTCTATATTAACCCAGTAGATAATTTCTGGAGTTAAAAGTCCTTCCGAAAGGCCTTCCTGCGAGTCAAAAGTCTTTCCACTCTACATTCCTTTCTCCTTTCCTTTTTTTATGGAATGACACAAATCGAAGTACATTTATACCCAGTAATGGTTGGCGATAAATTACTTTTGCATGCAAGCAGCTGGCGAATTTAACATGGCGATGTCCTAGGAAGTGTCAATTGCCCCCAGCTGCATCCCTTTTTCGATAGATCCGAACTAGTCCTAAATTCTATAGTTCCGAACCAGTTCTAAAATCGACAGACGAAAGAAAAAGATATCATAATTTTTCAATCTTTTCGGGTTTTCCCTGTGTGCGATTTTAAATTATTTTGACAGAAATGTGTTTTAAATTTGAAATTAAATTTGTTTGAATGATTACAAGAAATGTACATTTACATACCTTTGGCTGTAGCTGAGTTTGCAGAGGTACTTGCTGTTATTGGCTAGATTCCTGAAAGTCCCAAGATGTTAAGATGATATTACAAATTTTTGTTTTGTGTTACCACGCTATGAAAAAGCATTTGGGAAGTGCAGAATGGAAGCGTATTTGAACGAAAAAGCCTCCAAACACATATCTATGTAAAGTAAACAAGCCCCCCGCTGCATCTCTTTTTCTATAGTTCCGAACCAGTTCTAAAATCGTTACCTTACATATAGATTTCCAATGAAAAATGTGAAATAAAATAGTTTTTTTAAAGTACCACATTTCGCCGATTTTGGACTTGTAAGAATCTAGTTACTATCGGACTGGTTCGTTTTTGGCGATACAACTCTAGTACGGAACTAGAAATTTGATTCACTAGTTCGCTATTTCCCTGCAGGGTAGTTCACACAGAGTTAAGCGGATTTCTCGAGGAAACTCAAGCTTTTCGTTTGCAGTGGGTGATAACTCCGATAACGGCATCTACGGGGCGAGAGTTTATAAAAGTAGTGATGATTCTATTCTTTCCCCACAATATGTTTTTATAGGAATAATTCTTTCGGTTAGTCGGAAATACAATCATGTCCTCCGCTTGTTCTTACCCAGGCTATCGTAGCTTATGCTCTGGTTACTATGAAGTGATGGAACTTGACTGTTTAAAATCTGTGTTGTTTTTATGATGGAAAATCTACAGTCCTACATTTTGTAGAATTAATCAATTATTTTCCGTCACTGGGACGGCTTAAAATCGGAAAGCCTTTTCTACTCGGTATAGTTGAATAGTTTTATAATCCTTTAGCCGTTATTTAAAATTTCTCAAAGCATATTCGTAAGCTGGATTTCGGGGCAGCAAAGGTCTCGGGGGCGAAGTAGAGTGCCAATTGAAGGATCTAAAGTTTTATTCCATCTCCGAACGCCAAGTTTTTCCATGGCGGAAATACACTACCGAGGTTTGTCACTGCATATCGGAAGGCAACCACGATTAGAAACGTTTTAGTTAGTGGTCAAGCCAGGCATCGCAAGTGGGACTACCGGCTGCTAGAGAGCACCTCTATCCACTTGACCACGGCGAACGAGCTTTCTATAGCTCTTTAAATCACAAAACTCGCTGTTTTCCAGACATGTATTTTTTTTTTACAGAAGCGTATTACATTTACGAGCATTTCTTTTATTCGTCCTGAGAGATGCAAATTTTGAATTGATCTTATATACGGTTATGTCTGTATATCTTTACCGGTTTTCTGAAGAAACTTAATTGCAATTGTTTTAATTGTTAACAGGGAATTTCCCAAACATCGCTAACATGCGTTCACTTCATATTTGAGTGCCAATAGTTCTTTGCTGATATTACAAATGTACATACGAGTTATATACTTGTACCAGGAGTGATATGTAAATCAGGGATGTTGCGAATATTTGCATTCGCATTCGGTATGCGAATGATTCGCATCATTTTACACATTCGCTTTCTTATCAAATGATACGAATTCTTTGCGAATGCGAATGTGTGCATGGGCAGAGAGTCCACTCTAATATTTTTGAAATGGTTGTAAGGGCCGGTTGTTAAATGTCTGGTTATCGCTACCTCCCAGTTAAACATCATTATCGACGATTTCGACATCATGCATATAACATGGGATGTGCTGTATTTAACCGGAGCTTCTACCTCCGATTTGTGTTAAGTCTGTCTAATCGGCTTTTAGCTTCAGGCGCTATATGGTTAAGTAGTATATCAAGAAACATTGACGGGCCTTCAACAAGTACTGCTAGACGTCTTATAAGCTACCTAGAAAAAATTTTAGATTCCTCAAGCGAAAACGAAGGCTCGGATCTAGAGTCTGGAGACATTAAAAATGTAAAATCAAAGCTCAATTGAAAGCCTATCTTAAAGAAAAAAGAGATCATTTCGGTGAAAATCCTCTCGATTGGTGGAAACTAAATTAAAATACGACCATACGAGCGCTCCTCCCGCCAGCGTTCCAAGTGCAGGGCTGCCAACTTCGCTTAAGCCGTGCCATTTTTGGGCGCATTTTACTTCAATGGCACTTGGTTTTGCAATTCGACAAAAATGGCACTTCTGTAAAAAAATAACATTTCAATACATTTTTGTGAAATCCTTTACGTGTAGGACCTACACTGTAGGTACTTCTTTTTCTCAACTAAAAATTTCTAATTTATAAAGGCTATATAACTGGTTTGTCTTATTTTACCATTGCACACTTGTTTTGGTAATATGGTTCTTATTTTATTGCTAAAATGGGAATCATTAAAAAGAATGGCACCAATTTTTGGCACTTCTATTTTTCTATTTGGCGCATTTTGGCACTTTTTCATCCTCAATATGGCACCTCATAGCTAAGGATAGTTGACAGCCCTGTCCAAGTGAGCAATTGTTCAGTGCAGCCGGCCTTATATACAAGCCTCTAAGAAATCGCGTCATGGGAGAAAAGACAGCAAAACTACTTTTTTTTTTGGAAATATAATATGCCCCTTTTTAACTTTGACTACTAGATTAAAACGCTGTATAGGTTAAGTACTCGTTCAATGTTCTAATAATTTACAAAAGTTTTAAGTAATAAAAACGATGACTTAAGTTGATTATAGCTGTTTTAATGTTATTCCTAACATTCGCATTCGCACATTCGCATTCGCATTGGTGAATGTGAAAAATATGACATTCGAAATATCCCTAATGTAAATATATAAATGCATGTTTGTTCTAAAACTGGTTCGAAATGCGTATTTTCACATTCGCATATGTATCTATGCAAGTGAGACTTCACTAATCGATGACTTATCAACGGAATTCCCTGGAGGCTGGTTCATGTGGGTTTTTAGTACTTCATTATTTATAACTGCACTTTGTACGGGTTGCTGAGAGAAATGCTAAAATATGAAAAGCAAAGTACTTATGTGCATATAAGTTAGATACCTCTTTAATGTTGTACATTTTAGACGACGAGAGTCTAACTGTGGTCGAAACTATTGACTAGCAGACATCACAAAGAAAATATGTCTAATGAAAAAGTCGTTGTACAGATCAAAATGCCATTCAACTTAGAGGATTCAGCGTACTTCGCTTAATGAGGCTTGGCTGTCTCATCGCCTCTGACAGTGGAAGCCTTTGTAACGTTAGTTATTTATATGAACCAGCACTACGCCCGACTACTTCCGAGCAAACAGAACATCTCAATAGAGTTAGACACGATAAGCTGAACTATACAAGCTTGTGTTGGTAATTCGTAAATGTCACGAGGAAATACAAACTCTTCTGTAATTTGTTTGAGGGCCTCCAGCAAACTTGAATAGCCTACGTAGGATTTTCGCTCGGCAGTCCTGACAGGAGCCCCCCTAAAATATGTTATACTAAGTAGAGAGCACCCAGGCATTCGCTTCTGGGATAGTGATCATCTCTGGATTTTTGTTCCACATCATACACGTTTCTCTTTGATGCATTCGGTCAGGATTACAGTCCTGGCGAGTTGGTATTGTAATTTTATGGTCAGGAATCGGTATGGGGGCCACACTCTCTAAGATTTTCAAGTGCTCGGATGTACCATGAGTCCAGAAAGCTGTCTCTCTGAGTCTGACGGCTGCAATAACGGCTATCGCTAGAGCAAATACGCCAAGTGGATGCAGATGTTAGAGCTTTAGTAGGTGAGGAGTATAGAGCTCCGTTTATGCGTAGCTCCACACTTTTTGTACCCTATGAAATTGTTTAATCGCTGTTGCTTTACTAAGGACGCGTTACCAAATAAGGCTCCGTAAAGTGAAATCGGACCAATCGCTTTTTTTACAGGTTAAGAGCGCTGTTGTGGATTTTCAGAGCGGCTTACTGTCGAGCATTACTCCTAGATACTTTACAGTCACAGGGTTTAAGGAAATTTCCCCTGAACGATTACCGCAACATCATCGGCATGTACAATAACTTGCTTAGTTGATTCACCATCATTACCCCGCTAATTCTGAACTCGCCACCCTACTGGTGAGCAAATGGCGGGTGTGCCCAACCAGAGCTTTATCCACTACGTCAGAGCAGAGGTAGTCGCATACGGGAGGAGCGGCCATGTACAGGAAGTCTTGATTTCTAGTAGTCGCTCAATTTTCGAAACAACTGAGTTTGAGAGCTGTCTCCGTAGATCTGGCCTTACGGTAGGCAGCTGTCCATCCTTTCCAAAATGGAGGAAAATGTTTTTTGTTTTTTTGGAAAACATAAAAATACGAACTACCAATTCGGAGATGCTCTATCTTTTGCTGATATTATCTACTTCCGGTTACGACCGGAAATTGGTTAAATAGACCGGAAGTCAATTTTTTGAAATAAAATATATACACGTTTTTACCATAGATTCGGATTTTGCGAACAAAAGTAGGTATTTTTTGTTGGAAACTTTTTTCAACCTCTAAATGACCTTCGAACTTCAACTCTTCCTGGACCTTTAAAATGGAGGAAAATATGGTTTTTTTTGTATTATTGGAAAACTCGAAAAACATGAATTATCAAGTCGCGGATGCTTATCTTTCGGTGGTATTACTGAAACGGAAGGTCATTATTTTGACCGGGGGTCCATTTCAAAAAAAAAAAGTTTCCGACAAAAGTTACTTTTTTTTCCGCATGTCACATTTATAAGGATGGACTTCCGGTCTGTTTAATCAACTTCCGGTCGAAACCGATGGGCGCATGCTCTAGGACACCCAGTATTCCCTTGTCGTACGTCGTCTCTTCTCCATTAAAACAAATCGTTTTTAGTTTTGTTTTGTGTTTTTTTGTTTATTTACTTTTCATATTGTGTATACGCAAAGAGAGATTTACATACATATGCATTTGGGAAATAGAAATTTTGCATAATTCAGGCTGCTCTTATAGAATCATGTATGCGCCCGCAATTAAGCGCTATCACACAGCTTCAAGCTTTCTCTTTCTCTGTGGATTATGTTTAATGGCTGCGGCCATAGTTTCTTTTTTTTGGATCACTTTTCGTTAGACAAACATATTTTCAAGTTCTTTCTCAATCGTCCTAAGCTTTTTATTGTTTACAATTTCATTTTCAAATGTTCATATGCCTTGACTTGATTTATCGATTTTTCTTTTATGGCAGCTAAATTTTTTAATCTGTTCTTTGAGTTAGTGTTTTAGCTTTTTTATAAACGGCTTTAGGTTTGGACTTCTATTATGTTTTGTGTTGTATGTTTAAAAGGGNATGCTCTAGGACACCCAGCATAGGCAGTATTCCCTTGTCGTACGTCGTCTCTTCTCCATTAAAACAAATCGTTTTTAGTTTTGTTTTGTGTTTTTTTGTTTATTTACTTTTCATATTGTGTATACGCAAATAGAGATTTACATACATATGCATTTGGGAAATAGAAATTTTGCATAATTCAGGCTGCTCTTTTAGAATCATGCTTGCGCCCGCAATTAAGCGCTATCACACAGCTTCAAGCTCTCTCTTTCTCTGTGGACTATGTTTAATGGCTGCGGCCATAGTTTCTTTTTTGGGATCACTTTTCGTTAGACAAACATATTTTCAAGTTCTTTCTCAATCGTCCTAAGCTTTGTATTGTTTACAATTTCATATTCATATGCTTTGACTTGATTTATCGATTTTTCTTTTATGGCAGCTAAATTTTTTAATCTGTTCTTTGAGTTAGTGTTTTAGCTTTTTTATAAACGGCTTTAGGTTTGGACTTCTATTATGTTTTGTGTTGTATGTTTAAAAGGGCAATTGTTTTGAATTGTTTCTTTCTTTTTTTTTCTTGTATGGAAAATATGTATGCGGCTATGTGCGTGAGTTTTAGATGATTTCATTTTTTATATTTTGTTCATGGTTTATTTTTTGTTTTTATTGTAGAGAATTAGTGTTTGTTTGAATTACATTATTGTGTTTTTTTTTGACTTGTTTAAGAGAGTTAGTGTTTGAATTATTTTTAAATTGTGTTTCTTTCCTTTTCAATTTGCTTAAATTTTTAATAGTTTTAAATTTTATTACACAACTTGTTTCTTGTTCTTAATTAATTTAATATTAATGCTGCTTAATTTTTTATTTTAATCTATTATCTTTTCTT